ATCCTGCCACCTGTTGGCAGCTCAGCGGCAGCTCAGCTCGGGCTGGACTTGAACCGCTGTTGCTCAGAGCTCAAACCTTTGAGCGAGCTCTTAACAAAAAGTGCCTTTTTAATCAAACCTTTGCTTTGGTGGCTCCATAGATGAGGCCAAAGAGAGTTTAAACCCACTTTGTTTGGTACCTTATTTGGTACCCCATGTACTGCTCAACTTTAAGCAATTAAAGAGCCAGGCAGGGCTCAGTTTGCCTCTGGCCTCCACTATTAACTAGCTGTGTGACCTGGGGTACCAATTTTACCTCTCTGAACCTTAGTATCCTCTTCTGAAAATGAAGACAATGATGCCGTGCTCACAAGCCTCCTTGAGGAAGAAAAGGTTCGCACAGTGTCTGATATATTTACCGTAAATGTTATAGTATCCATGCCTTCAATCCACGTTAGCTATTGTGTGATAGTAACAGCATCTAATACATTTACCATAAATGTCATAGTACCCACACCCTCAATCCACGTTAGCTATTGTGTGATGGTAACAATAACTGCTCCCAAAGGGTGGAATGCTTCCTCCCAGCAGCCTAGCCCCCCTCCGTGAATAAGAGGACATCAAGGCAATAAACAGGACTCACAGACGCAGTGGGGCAGGCGGGATGTCCAGATGGGGGTGCCCGTCTCGCGGCTGTAGCAGGTCAGAAGCGAGCTCCCTTCCAGCACAAAGCCGGGGTTGCAGGTATATTGGATGGTGGTGCCCACCAGCAGCACGGGATCCGAAATTAAGCGGGTCGAGTGGTCCACTTCTCCGGGGTCAGTGCAGTACATAACTACCGGAGATGAAATCAGACCAAGTGTGCATTAGGGCTCTGGATGATCAGAGGTTTCCTGAAAATTACAGAATGGTCTAGAAAGGAGCCTAACTCAGCTCTTTTCCTGTTTGGAAGATAATGTATGGGCTCATCAGAGGTGGCTGGAGACTAGGTTAGGATGAAAAAGATTGGCATTTCATTCCACTTTCAGGGATTGGCCCCAAGAAATGTTTGCATCAGGGCCCAAAGGCCTATGTACAAGGTTGTACATTGCACCGTTATTTGTAATGGTAAAAAAAAAAGAAAAAGAAAAAGAAAAAGAAAGAATGCAAACCCTTTAAAAGGGGAAGAGTTAAACATGGAACACCCACCCATAAAATCCTGAGCACCCACTAGAGAAAACAAAATGAAGGTGACTTGCTACTTTCTCTAGTGCTTGATTGTAGTAAAACAAGCAGCCATTACTTTTTAATAAAAAAAAAAATCGATACAGAAAAAAGGAAAACAATAAACCAGTTAAAAAAAGAATGAAGTAGACAACATGCGTGCTATGAAAAGATACCCATATTTCTGAGTTGCAGTTGCAAGGAAGTTTGTATAAATTGATCCCTGTTATTACAATGCCAGTATCTGTAGCTACTTCTATATGAATATCAATATACGTCTATATACATGGTAAGTTCTGCACGTGCATGTATGTGTATATACAGCACACACAGACATACACATGCAATCGGAACCGTACAAAATGAACTTTTAGGAGTGGCATCATTTCCAGAGCTTAAGATCGTAAAGGATTTTCACTTCCTACTTCATAATTTTACTACTGCTTGAGTACTACAAGTAAGCGTTTGTTACTTGAGTCCTTTTAAGTCATTATTATGAAAAACATTGTAAAAAATCATTATTATTTAAAACATTTAAAAATCATTATGATATAATATTATGTATTATTATATAATATTACATATTATTATATTATATACATTAATATATAACAGTAATATAATGTAGATCACATGATGACAGATTACACTAATGCATTCATGATGGGTCTCTCTTATCACCACCCATGGCATTTCTCACTGTCCATTTTTAATTTCCTATCATGACACAGACACACACGCATGCCCATACCCACATACTGTTTTGGAACAAATAAGTCTATTCATGTAGCTGATTTTGTGGACTTTTAGCAAGTTCTTTCATGTTTCCCACAATTACAGTTAATTTTCTTCGATGTTGGAATATTTATGATCGGAATTGCATGTGCCCCCCAAGCTTCTTCCCCGATACCCCTCTTTCTCTGATCACACTGAATATGGCTGGCCCTCCATGTCCCCGGGTTTCACATCCGCGGGTTTCGCATCTACGGGTTCAACCAACCACAGCTTGAAAACCGTATTTGTTGACTGTATGCATTGTTTTACACCATTTTATATAAGGGACTTGAGCAGCTCAGGGTTTTTGTATGTGTGGGGGCGTCCCGAAACCAATCTCCGTGTACATAGAGGGATGACTGTATTTCTTATTGTGCGGTTGGTAATTTGAGTTATGCTGAACAGGTCTACCAAAGTACCACTGAGGATTCTCAGTGAAAGGGTTGCAGACGAGAGCTTTACGAGCTTTACCTGCGAAGTGAGAGGCAAAAGGCTGCAGGAAGAGGTCGCTCTGAATGTACTCAGCTCCTCCCCCTGCTACTAAGGCATCCGTGTAGAAACCAGATGCGCTTCCTTTCTCCGCCCCTTTCCAAGACACTAGAGTCACAGTCCATATCACTTCTTATTGCCTGACACAAGTCTATTTCATTCATGGACATTATCTGCCAGGTTTCAGAAGACACCGGCGTCTTAGATCCCTGCCCTAGGGCTAAAAAATGACATTTGTGAGTAAGCAGCACCAGTGAGTTGATGGAGTAGGAAAGAGGCCAGAATTTGCATTAAACAACTCCACTGCATCCATGAAAAAAAAAAAACAAACAGAAAGAAAGAAAAGAAGATAAAAAATAAAAAAAGGAGAAAAGAACCTATAAGAGGGATTTACCATCCACTGACATAGAGGAGGAAAACAAGGCTATGCTTACTTTTCTCACAAAATGGGGGGTCGCTGCTCCAGCTGAGGTCCCACTGGCAGGTGAGGGTGTCGCTTCCCACGATGTCATAGCCAGGGTCACACTGGTAGGTGATCCTGGCACCCCTCACAAGCTCTGTATGAGACGTGGTTTTCCAACCATTCTGGATCTCGGGTAGATCTGAGCAGGAATCGTTCCTAGACACCTCTTTAAAACAAAGACATCATCCTTAGATGGGGTGGTGGCCTTTTTGTTTGGGGTTCCCCTCATGAATGTCAGAGGAAATAGCAAATAGAAGAAAAAGCCTCCAGGGATAAGTAACACACTTTCAAAAACCCCTTAAACTTCAAGAACTTTTCTACAGTGATGTAGATGTTCCAATGACCTCTTCCCATGGGTCGCTGAGCTTACCAAACATTCTCTCGGCTTGATAAAGTCCGTTTAGGGTTTAGAGTCAGACAGAACCCATACCTCTGCTACTTACTGTGTCTGAGGTTTTTCACCTTTCTCGAGAGCAGAGTCATAACCATGCCAGCCTCGCTGTGGTAGCTACCTTCCAAGATGTCCCCCAGTTATTCTCACCTCCTGCAATTCACATTCTTGTGTAGACCCCGCCAACACTGAGTAAGGCCCATGGGCATAACCAATAAGCTACTGCAAAAGCGATCATGTGTGACTTCCGAGGATACGTCATAAAGTTATTGAGGGCCGGCCAAGTGGCTCAGTTGGTTAAGAGCACGAGCTCTGAGCAACAGGGTTGCTGGTTTGATTCCCACATGGGCACGTGAGCTGCGTTCGAGTTGAGCTGCTGCTGAGCTGCCAACAGGTAGCAGGATGGCTCAGCTGGTGAGAGCACGTGCTCCTAACAACAAGGTTGCTGGTTCGACTCCCACATGGGATGGTGGGCTACGCCTGCTGCAACTAAGATTGAACACGGCACCTTGAGCTGAGCTGCTGGGAGCTGCCAATGGGTGGCTGGATGGCGACTGGACTTGGAGCTGAGCTAGCTGCACCCTCCACAACTAAGATTGAAGAACAACAACTTGGTTGTTCCCCTTCCCCAATTCCCCAACACTGTTTCCCTCACCCAATTCCTCAATAAAATCTTTTTTTAAAAAAAACGTGGTTGAGGCCCTCTCCTTGCTCTCATCACTTTCTCTGAAGGAAGTGGCCACCATATTGTGAGGATGCTCAAGCAGCCCTCTGGAGAAATCCATGTGGAGAGAGTCCAAAGCCTAGCAACGATTGGCATCGACCTGCCAGCACCAGGAGGGAGCCATTTTGGAAACGGAGCCTGCAGCCCCCCAGGCAAGCCTTCAGATGGTTGCAGCCCTGACTGACATCCCGACCACAACCTCATGACAGACCCTGAACCAGAAGCACCCATCTAAACCACTCCATAATTCCCGTCCACCGAAACTGTGGCATAATAAGTGTTTATTGCTCATTTTTGGGGAGGTCATTTGTTAGACAGTCATAGGTAGCTAATTACCCTCAGCCTCATCCTAAGAATGTCTGTAAATCCATGGGTTTGATAGACTAGTAAATACATGTTTTTGTAATACAGACTAAGATACTTAACTATTAAAATAAAAATAATTATTGGTGCCTTCTTCAAATCACATTGCATATCGTCAGTGAACATTAGCCACACTCCAGAAAGTGCGACACACAGCTTATTATCACCGAGTCTTCCTTGGAATAATTCTGCTTATCTTCTGCAAACCCTCATTACTAAGGTAGTAATCCAAAGCCCACTATTACTATTCTTGCTTCCAAGTGCCCACTGCACAGATTTTGAGAAAGAGCTAATTATGCTGTATAATTAATTTGCAGTTCTTATGTGCTTTTGGGGAAGCAAAGCAGCTCCATTGTCTGCAGGAAAGTCATTCTGAGAAAGAGGCAATGGCTTTTCCCGGGATTTCATCATGGTTTTATTTGAGGAAAGGAGATCTCATGGGTGTCTGCAAGAAGTCGGGGAGAGGAAGATGGCTTCTAGAATTGCTTGGTGGGGGAACAGGAGCCTCTATTTTTAGGCCTTTGAAGAATCAGCCAAGCCCTGGATTTAGGACACAGCTGCAAACGCTCAAACTATGGATGAAAGGGGACAAGTGGGGGCAAATACTGGATATGTGGCCTGCTTTGCGCCAAATGCTTTGAGGCTGAGAAAGGTTTGCTTGTCTGACTTTTCAGTGTGAGCCAATATGGCTACACATTCCTGTGGGACCCTCTGTCTCCTCTGTGGCATTCACCAAATTTGCGATTACCTTAGTTGCTGCCACCATGTAGCAGAGACTTGACTTAAATCTTGGCCCCACTGTTTACAAATTCAGCGGCCTTGGCTAGGTCACTTTGCCTTCCTGTTCTTCTGTTCCTAGACTCCACTCCCAGAAACCATGATTCAGAAATCTGCATGTTCACCAAACACACCAGGTGAAGGTTACAGAAGTATGTGTCCTGATGGGTCCTTAACTTTGCTAAGAATGAGACAACTGGCCTAGGACTTGGAAGACTTCCCTTCCATTCTCTTTCTTTCTTTTTGGAGCTGTGTGACTCCAGTCATGTCAATAAACATATCTGAGCCTCATTGTCCTCAGTCACAGAGTAGAGACACAAATCATGACCCTGTCTATCCCTCAGGGCAATGTGAAAGCTAATTGATGCACAGGAAATGACAGGAACACTAAGATGAGTCATATGGGTTCTTGGTTTGTTTGACTAAGACTTTGTGAGCACCTGCTGTATGTCAGGCACAAGGAAGGCAGGGCTCTGAAGTCATGGTTCCAGTCTTACGGTCAAGATCAGCACCATGGCCTAGCTTTTAGGCAAAACTAAACAAAACAAAGCAAAACCCAAATGTGCTGAATACATGCCACCGTTTACCAGTCTTATGCTCATGGCTGGCATCACTAATCAACCATAGCAATCTCTTTCTTTGAATCAAGCTGAAACCTTCCAGTCCTTCTCAACACAGCACTCCAGGGAGCCCCTGTCATTTTATTGGAGTTGACCTACAATATAGAGCTTATTTATTACCCTAGAATGAAAGGAACAAACACACAAGTGACCAATATCTCTTTGAAAAACACTGCTTCCTCATCTCTGCTATTTTTATTTCTTTTTCCTCTCTTGCACTTGGCCAAAGACACTAGCAAAGCACAGGAAGCAGTGATGAGGATTGGTCTTTGCTTCTGTCTGTGCAAAGGAGAATTGAGGTTAGACTCATGTAAGCCCGGAGTGTTCCTATGAAAGGTTCTGACAGCAGCCATGGCAGATAAACTTGGACCACCTTCCAGGGCTGGCTTTTAGGCCTTAAGATCAGTCTAGGAGCTTCAGAACTCTCTAACCGACCTCAGAACTTCCTGACCGTTCCATCTGATTCCTCTCCTGAATGGGAATTGCATCCGTGTCTGGTTAAATCTCGACCTAGGATAGCAACTACCTCTTCCATGCTATGGCAGGCATCACTAATCAATCATGGCATTCTTTCCCCCTGGCTTCAGGCATTGCTTACTCTGAATTCTTTTCAACACGGTCTTCAACGTAGGTGGTCACAAGAAATTGATTGGCATCAAAATTAGATACAGAAGCCCACTTGCTTTCCCTGTAAAATTGACTGTGTGTCTCTTTAACAGAAAGAACAAAGAGAACTCTTCTCTCCGTGTTACCCATGTTAGCCAGGCTGTGCACCCCTGGGAAGAAGCCTCTGAAACCCCGTGCTTGCCTCTCCCATCGCATCAGCACACAATGCTGACATTATCTGTTAACAGATTACCACTCCCATTTTCACTAGCAGCCTCACGGGCAGGGAGAGGATTCTAAGTGTTCTATTAATTCTTAGATCCTGGCGCAGAGGGCAGGGTCTCACATATAGGAGGTGTCAAGAGATTTTCGTGAACCAAACTGTCTGGGAAATGAAGATAATGGATTTGAAGATAAAGTAAAATAATAAATGGAAAAGTGCTGGCCAACTTCCAATTGTCACACAAATCTAAGTTTCAGCTTCAATTAACAAGAGCACCTCCTCTTCAAGATGGGGCCAAAATGAACGTTGGCAGGACTTTTTGGTGAACCCTGGGCAGCCTTGGATGGAGTTAGATTTCTGCCATCAAGATGAATGCAGTTTTGGAAGACCGACTCAGGCACCAGAGGAGACAAGTGAGCAAAACTATCACCTCATCTTTCAGTGAGGAGGGAGGAGAAGCCTAAGGAAATACTCGTAGATTGAAGCTAAGTCACCAGAAACTCTCCCTTCAAAGGCAGTTGACTCTGGAGGGCACCTCGCCTGGACAGCCAGCATGAGCTGTCCCCCTATGCCCAGGGCATTGCCCAGTAAAGAGTGGGGAACCCACGCAAAGTACACAGCAGCCATAACACTCTGAAAATACTTAGTTAGCAATGAGGGGGAAAAACAAAATCAAGGGTAAAAGGGCCCTAAAGAAACATGAAAAAGAAGATCAACACTTGTGTTTGCCTCACTGAGAATTGAATGTAGTGCAGGCAAGGATGAGAAAGGTCCACCAGCTGGAAATAGAAAAAACAAGGGACTTATTTTCACAGGCACGAGGCTCCTTGACACAGCCAATGGTCAAGGAAGTGGCTTGTATTTTGGAGACAGGAGATGGCACAGAGAGAACCCTTTGTATTAGATTGAGATGGGCAAATCTCCAAGCCAAGGGGAAGAAAAAATCAAAGACATGGAATCTTGCTCCAAGCTGAGGGTCTTTGATGATGGGGGTGGTAGCAGGAGACTTGGCAGAATGACCCCCCTTTCCCTGATCCATCCTAGAAATCCAGAAATCAACCTTGTTTCTGGGAGGTCCCCTAATTGCTGGCTGAATCCATTTCAATTCTCAGGGTGCAACACCCACCATCCTGGATCTTAAAAGGAGCTAGGTTTTAACTAAACCCTTTTATCTCCCAGGTTCTTTGCTGGTGTCAAGAATATTGGGAGTGGAGAAACCCCAAGAGCTGGGAGCAGGAAGCCTGTGACCCTCTGGCGTGATCCCACGAGCAAGACCATTATCCTCAGTGGTCCAGCGCTTCCTGTGCTGTGACATGACAGGGCTGAACCAGGCACTGTCCAGGAAAGTCCTTCCGGGGCTAGAATCAGTGGGATTTCACGGTGTTCTGGTCTCCCCTAACTGCTGGGATGATGGCCGCTTAGAGTAGGGCGGTGGCCATGGAAACATGGAAAGAAGTGCTTGGATCTGAGACATAGTGGGAAGATGGATTGGATCTACAGGTGAGGAAAGAGGAAGCAGCCCGAGAAACCAAGAGAATTGTGGTGCCATCTCCTGGGATGGACAGAGAGCAGGAGAAGCAGCTGGGTGGTGGTGGGTGGGGTAGAGAAAGAACTAGTTCTGTTTCGGCCACGTTAAATCTGAGATGTCAATCAGACATGCAAGAGGGTACTTAGTAGGGAGTTAGACAGGTGAATCTGGAGTTCATGGGAGAGTTCAAGGTTGAGGTATAAATTAGGGGTCAATGGAGTATAGATAGGTATTTTTTTAAAACCACGGGACTGGATGAGAGCACATAGGGAGTGAGTCTAGACAGAGCCAGGATGCAGCTTTGGATCCTCCAGTGTTCAGGGGTTTAGCAGAGGCGGGTGATGGAGCCAGTAATGAAGAAGAGGGGGTTACAGGGTGGGAGGTGAGGAGGGAAGGGTGTGGGTGGACAAAACAGTAAGAAGGGAGTATTGGATGGTCAAGTGTGAACTTAGCTTGAACTTAGTAGCAGGCTTTTTTTTTTTTTTTTTAAGGATGAGAGGGAGAGAAATGGTTTGGAAGCCACACTGAGGATCAAGGAAGACATCTCTAAGTCCTAAAGTACGGGACGTGGAGAGAAAGGGCGGACTCCATTGGATGGGGCTGCGGGGGAGGAAGAGTCCATAGGAGGTAGCCGAGCTTCAGTTAAGGCAAGATGGTGAAGACATTGCTTTGAGAACTTGCAAATATAGGATAGTGTTGATGATGTAAAGTCCCAGCTGACTACAAATGAAACATAACGAATCTTAAAGTTATGAGGCTCGATCTACTAAGTTCTGATATCAACCCTGTGGCATCAATACTCCCATTTTACAGATAACAAAAAGGAGGCTCAGAGAGGTTAAGTGACTTGCCCAAAGTCACACAGCCATCGATGACAGTACTAGGACTCAAACTCTGGCCCTTCCGACTAGAGAGCCCAAGCTCTTAAAAACTATGTATACTTACTGTGCCAATATATTAAAAGATCTGTGTAACACAACCCCTCCTTCCCAAAAGACATATCTAGTGGGAATCATCTTAACCTTCATCTAAGCAGAAAGGAAGAAAACTGACCAGTGAGACACGTACCAATGTAGTTCATGATAAATCCTTGGCCCTTTCCAAAGATGAGACCAGCGGGGTCCGAGTGGAACTGGATGGTTAGGTCTGGCGTGGATGAATACAACTTCTGGGGGCCACTGTTCCCAAGATACTGCCCCAAGATGTGGGGCATGACGTCATCACCGTCGTAGATGGTCAGGATGTCGCTATTGCTCAGGTTCAGGCTTGGGGGGCAGAGAGAAGAGGGGGGTTTGTGAAGCAAAGTTATGGGCATTCAACAAGACTTTGATTAATTTTTTTTTCAAGTAACACACTTTGTTGAGACATACTGTGTATCAGGTCCCAGGCTAGGAACTGGGGGTAAGGGAGGCGTGGACTGCAAATGTAACCAGGACATGCTGACCTTTTCTACAAGCCCGGCCTATAGGTTGGTGGGTGGATTGGGCTTTTGAAGACTCATTCATGACACGGTCTTACCTGCAGTGGAGGCCATTGCAGGGTCAAATGCTGCACTGTAAGTAAAACTGCCTTCACTATCCCTGCCATCAACAACCATTTCATGGCTGAAACTAAGTATTGGGCCCCGGGCTACACGCTGGGGGAGCGACCTGGGTCTTTCGTTCTTCTTTGATGCAGAACCAGCTGACTGCTTGTTAATTATCATTTGTGTTTTCATGTACGGTGAAAGGATCCTTCCATGTATCATGTGCGTAATTCTTCAAAATCAAACGGGTTATCTATTATGTTTAGGGGGTAGGGCAGAAGGTGAGTCGGAAGCACCTTGTTCATGAAATATGCTCACCCTGTTATCACTGTTGGTAGCATTCAAGGATGAGACATTTTCAAAGACTTGAACACAAGACCATGTCTTGACACTAAATATTTGGACAACAGTGGACAATGAATAATCCAGAAAGCACTTCAATCTGCCACAGAAATGCATGCCATGTTAGGTGTGTGGGATAGCATTGATCTCTGATGGAAAGAGTGCCAGCTTGCATCAATCCTGGGTAGATTTTAACTCATGCCTCTTTTTTTTCCTTTCTCCTTATTCCCCTCTCTCTTTCTTCCCTTTCTCTCATGTCTTTTTCCTTTTCTTGTGTCCCTCTCCCTCATATTTTTGAGCAACTACCATGTGTCAGGCACTATGCTATACTCAGAGGGCACAGGGGTCACCGAGCAATGGTATATTTAGATGAGTGAGTCAGATATTGTGGTAGGAGATATGATCAAGGTAAGTGCAGAGGAGGGCATTAACTCAGATTAGGGGCATCCCAGGGGGCCTCCCTGGAGGAGGTGATGCTTCTGATCCTCACAAAAGTCTAGGGGACCATGAGGCTGATAAGCAGGCGGTGGGGTGAAGGCAAAGCATGAAGCAGAGGGAGGAAGGGAGAGAGGTCCTGGCTCCTGAAGGAACTTGCCTGGTGGTCAGTGTGAGAGGGTGTGGATATAGGCATGGGAGCCTGGCGAGAGCTGCGAAAGTCAGACCATGGAAGGGCTTAGAGACCCAAGTTTAGACCTTTGGATATCACCCTGCTGGGGATGAGAGACACTGAAGGGCTCTCATCAGGAGCATCCTGGCTGAACAATTCACCGCCAGAGGAGAGGCGTTCCAGGAAACGGCCCTGAGCGAAGTTCCTGGAATTGATGCCGACTGACAACAGCCCTCCCCCCAGACAGCCTCATCCAGCAGTGTTTGCGTAGGTCTGGGGAGCCACGAGAAGGGGCGGGGACTGCTCCTGTTAGAGCTTTAATTAGTAGGAACAAAACAACAGGATCACAAGGTCTGCCCTTGAAAATTTGTTTCCAGAGGGCAGGGGATGTATTTTTTTTTTCACAGAATATCTTCCACAGCCCCTCACAATCCCTCATGTAAAGTTGTTCCAAAGAATCACTTAGGGCGACTCTAATTGCCTCCATATTTTCCATCAGTTTCCCCTGCACCACCCACAAAACATCCACCCTTAATAAAAGCTTTCTGCGGGGCCGGCCAGTGGCGCAGTTGGTTGGAGCACGAGCTCTGAGCAACAGGGTCACTGGTTCGATTCCCACATGAGCCAGTGAGCTGCTCCCCAGCTGAGCTGCCACTGAGCTGCCAACGAGTGGCTGGATGGCTTGGCTGGTGAGAGCACGTGCTCCTAACAACAAGTTTGCTGGTTCGACTCCCGCATGGGATGGTGGGCTGCACCCCTCCCACGCCCCCCGCAACTAGATTGAAAATGGAGACTGGACTTGGAGCTGAGCTTGCACCCTCCACAACTAAGATTGAAGGTCAACAATTTGACTTGGAGCTGATGGGGCCTGGAAAAACACAATGTTCCCCTCCCCAATTCCCCAATAAAATCTTAGGAAAAAAAAAAAAGCTGTCTGCTTGCTTTGCATGGATGGCTTTAAGACAAAGCCCCTAGACCCCTCCCCACACCTCCCCAGTTTCCAACTAGGCTGCAGCCTCTCAACCCCTATTATATCGGAATTCTGGAGCTGCCACCTTCTCTTGCACACAATAGGTGTTCAATAAATGCTATGGCATGAAAGAGTCTGCCAGCAGTCTGACAGCAGAAATAGTGGGATTGATGTCCACAGTAGGGTTGATGTCAGCCCTCGACCTATGGTAGGGAAGAGGCTCTTAACTCTTAAGTGCCATGAAAATATCAATATTATGAAAGTGCTGGATTAGGTTAGTGTGAAATGTGGTAGATGGCAGATATTTATTCCTTAAGCCGACTTCACAGCTGATCCACAGGTAACAGTGGTTTCCAGACAGTGCACAACTTGGCTTTCTTCTCATTCATTTCCATGATCTAAATGCAGTAGAAGCATCTTCAAGGGTGAAAATAGCTTTCATTTTAAAGCCCAGCGCAACTCTTTGTTCTTTGTAAACCAGGAAGGAGCAGTGCGCTGGAAAAAGCACACTGCCTTGGAGATCAGAAAGCTTTGATTTGGGCCGGCCGAGTGGCTCAGTTGGTTAAGAGTTAGTTTAAGAGCGCGAGCTCTGAGCAACAGAGCCGCCGGTTGGATTCCCACATGGGCCAGTGATGCTGCGCCCGAGCTGAGCTGCCGCTGAGCTGCCAACAGGTGGCAGGATGGCTCAGCTGGTGAGAGCACGTGCTCCTAACAATAAGACTGACTGATCGATGGTGGGCTATGCCCACCTGCAACTAAGATTGGACTTGACACCTTGAGCTGAGCTGCCACCCAGATGGCTCAGTGGATAGAGTGTGCGCTTTTTACATCAAGACTGCCGGTTTGACTCCCGCATTGGATGGTGGCTATGCCCACCTACAACTAAGATTGAACACAGCACCTTTCAACTTAGAAGCCACGAGCTGCTGACAGGCAGCCAGATGGTGACTGGCACCTTCCACAACTAAGATTGAAGAACAACAACTTGGCTGGTCCTCCTCCCCAATTCCCCAACACTGTTCCCTTCCTCCAATTCCCCAATTAAAAAAAAAAGAGAAAGCTTTGGTTTGATTCCTGGCTTTGACATGTTCATGGACGCCATGCGGTTTTTCTGAAGTTCTTTGTCTATGACTCCAGCTTAATATTTGTAGTCGAAGTCATGGCCTTTTGGAGGGAGGTCAGGCAGGCAGAACGTCGGGGATCAAATTCCAGGCTCACTGACAGCACCTGAGTGAGCTTAGTCAAGTCATTTGAATGTTATGTCACATTGCAATGTTATGATCATCACCACTGTCGTCACCACCATCATCCTCACCGCCATCATCACCACCATCATCATCATCACCATCATCATCATCTCTTTGGATTGCTGTTTATACCAAATGACATCAGATGACTTATATCAGTGGTTCTCAACTAGGGGTGGTTTTGGCCCCCAGGAGATATTTGGCAATGTCCAGAGACTTGGTTGTCCCAACCAGGGTGGGGGAGGGGGGCGGAAACCCTGACTTATGTGAATGCATTTTGTAAACAGTGTGCAACAGATGATTACATGCAACTTCTGTGGTCCTGGAATTTCAGCAGAGGTCTTCTAAGCTAAGAATCAGCCATCAGGTACGGGGCATTCTTACTTCCTAAAGAGATATACATGGCCAATGATTGAGTTTGGGTTCTCCAGAAGCAGAGTCTGAGCAAAGATGTGTGTCCCTTGGAGTCTGGCTTATTTGGCAGGCCACCCCAGGCAGCACCGGTGGGGAATGACATGGGAAGAAGGGAGTGCATGGTGCATCAGTGGACAAGTTACACTGTCGGCACTGGACTTAGTCCTGGAGGAAATGTGAGCGATGGCGCAGAATAGGGAGGACAGGAAGCTGCGGGTATTTATCCTCTAACTCCCGTCACTCATTGCCTGAGGGCTGCTCTTAGGGGCATCGAGTCTCCAGCACTTCTGGCCTGCCAATGTGGAGAAGGCCTTCTGGCCTTGGAGAGGCTTGCAGCAAGAAGCCATCCTGGGTACAGAGTGGCAATTGCTGCAGGGCTCAGATAGGGCACCAGTGGCTGGCACCTGCTACCACTATCTATGCAGATCTCATCGAAGCCTTTCCCCACCTCTAGCCTATAGAAGGTGAAAAACCCCTTGAGCCATTGAAGAGGTTTGCAGGGAAGACTGCCTCAGGGGAAGTGTCACTGTGGGAGGGGGAAGGAAGAAGGCGTATCACCCTCACCTCAAGCCTCGTAAAGAAGGCTTCAAGGAAACTCTTAATGGCTTGGCAGGTATCTTTTGGGGTTTGGAAAACAGTGGCTGCATTTGATGCTCACTAGGAGAAGAGTAACATAAAAATCAGCATGAAGTTGCCTGCATGCCTGGGGGCAGAGCCAAGAGAGGAAAGGGGGTTTTGGGAGTGAGCTACTGATGAGAGTGAGAGTAAGATTCATGTTTCCCCGGTCTTAGATGTGAACCCTGAAGAAGGCAGACACTGTGGGTCTTCTTAAAAGTGTTCCCATCCATGGGCCGGCTGAGTAGCTCGTTGGTTAAGAGTTGGCTTGGGAGCGCGAGCTCTGAGCAGCAGGGCTGCTGGTTCGGATCCCACATGGGGCCAGTGATGCTGCGCCCTCTACAGCTAAGATGGTGAACAACAGCTCAAACTGGAGCTGGGCTGCCGTGAGTCGCCGGCAGCCAGTGTGAGCGGCCATAAGCCACTGTGAGCGGCCGTGCAATGGCCGGCGACTGATCTGCCTCACCCGGGAAGAGTGCAATGATCACAATACCAACATGGGCCAGTGAAGCAACGTCCTCCACAACTAGACTGAAGAACAAAAG